AATGTAAATCAAGAATGTTGTTTTACATTAAATCTAAGTATAGGTTCCCCATCAATAGACAACATTATCCAGTTCTCAGAATTCCCTGGAAGTGCAGTTGTTGAACTCGGATGCAGCAGATGGGCCAGCTACTTTAATTTTGGCATTGCTTCTCAAAAGTAATTTCTGCCATTGTTTTCGATTGAAATCTTTAAATCACTGAATGTTGATTGTTGTCCAAAATGTTTAGACCAACAAAAGATTTTGAAAATATATCAACAAAATAGAACATCAACACATGGTTTGCTTGATTTTTGGGAACGGACCAAAAATTAGATTACTGCATAAAGTTGACCTGCATCCTAACAAGGCCCACAGACTTCATGCCAAAAGACTTGCAACACTCAAAAAATATGTAACAACTGTAGTACATATGCCTTCAGGTGCTCTTACTCTACTATGAAAATTAAAATCAACAATATGAATCATCCAAAAGATTTTCTTCAAGCAAAACCCAATCTTTTCAAGCAAGCCTCACATGCACCTTTGAGGCATATCAACCACAAAATAAGCATAACATTTCATTTCAAGAAATTAAAAATCATTTTAGCTGTCTGAATTTGTCTAAATGAAATTAAGGTAAAGAGTTATCTACCATCTAATCCAAATCTAAGCCATACTCTTCATATTCTTTCTTAAAGCTGTGAAGCCTTCCCAGGAACCATCTTCGGCCCTTGTCCATGTATGAGCTGAGCCTGAAATGAATTTTTCCACATATGTTGCTCCTTCTCTCAACTCTTCCTCTTCCCAATTGTAGTCAGGTGGTATAACCAAACTTTCCTCATACATAACTGTTGGAAAATAATAATTTTCAACAAGTTTAATTTGAAATTGAAGTGGGACCCAACCCCAGTTGAGGTGGATCTAAGTGGTGAGAAGATAGCAATACAAAAATAATAAGCAGAAACTATTAAATTGTGAATGAGAATTGTGGCATAAAGTGGACATTAATAAAAGTTGGACTTAGATTTGGACTTCGTCTTAATTTGGATTGGGCCTAGGCCTAGGCTTATGCTTGTGCATGTACTGGGTTTGGTCTTGCACTTAGACTTGGACTTAGTCTTAACATGGGCTAAGTTGTGTTGTGTTGGGCTTAACTTATGCTTGTGTTTGAGAGTTGATGACTATTGATGCTAGGTTTTATAGTAGCCTTCATGGCTAAGACCCCTTCCCTACAAGTATAAAAAGGGCCTTTCCCATCCAACTTAGATGTATGATATAGAAATGTTTTGAGATGGAAAATTTATGATTTTCTTTAAATAAAGTTAGATATGATTTTTACATCAAAGAAAATTTTTCTTATCTTCTTTTTACTATTCCATTTGTTGGTTCTTGTTAGAGAGAGAGTATTGTCAGTGCTTCTACATTAACTAATTTCAACCGTCGTATCCTGAGAGACAGTCACCATTGTACCTCCAGCACCCATTGGGGAGGCAGGAAATCTGTTTTAAGGAAACTGTGATTACACAAGTTTCGGTTTGCATTCTTTATTTTTTGTTCTTCAAAATTTTAAATTTTAAATTTAAATTATTTCTTAAATATTATTTTGTATGTGTAACAATCCAAAAATTTAAATTGTCCTTTAAATTTTATATTAGTATTATTTAATTATAAATGAGAAAATTTAAATGTTTAATTAAATATTCCGTAAGAGTAAAATAAAATATTAAATGTTACGGGTGTATGAGATAAAGCGTAATTAAATTAGGGATTATTATTTGGGGCCAAATTAATAGAAATATGAAATTATAATACTAGTTGGGTCAAACTAAAGTTAAAGATAGTAAATAAATAAATATAAAAGTAAGAATAAATAAATAAATAAATAAATAATAATAATAATAGATGTGATAGTAAAATAAATAATTAATTTTCTATTGGTATACGATAGAGTGTAATTTAATTAGGAATTAATTTATTTATATAGTTATATTAGAAAATTAGGTTAAAGTGTAATTATCTTAAATATCTATTAAAAATAAGTATCAATCCGTATAGTTTATGGATGAATCTGTGGGAGGATTCGCTGGCCACGCGTTGGCCTGTCAATAATCTTCCCTCCCTATAAAGGAGGTGCTTTGTGGGAAAGAAAAGGAAAAGAAGGGAGAAAGAAAGAAAAATGAAGGAAAAGAGAGGAAGGAGAAGGGAAAGAAACGAAGAAAAGGAAGAAAAAATAATGAAAATCGGATGGAAGTCGGAAGAGTCTTTGATAGTGGAAAGAAAGAGTGAGGTATTAAAGTTAAGGTGAGTTATATTATACCTTGAGTCACCATAATATATTTTATATATATTTTGACTTACCATAATTTATTTTATACAAGTTATGTTTTATAAATTATATTAATATTTCGATTACGATGATTATTTCCTGACCCCTATTTGCTTAAAATGAAACCTATGAATATGTTTGTTTATATTTTAAAGAATATTTAACTATGACCTTATAAACAATTATGTTTTGTAAGTACCACCATGGGAGTTCCACGCCTTGGGGGACTTAAATAACCATTGGCTTCTGTTTGGTCACTTTGTGGCTCTCTATGGATCTATTAACCTCTGTTTTATGCGAAACAAAGTGCTGTGCGAAGATAAGTACTACACTATTGTGGGAGCCACCTCTATAATTTGTATGAGCAACCTCTTGAATCCGTATCTCTGTTCTGACTTTCACTCCTATGACCTCTATTCTGTTCTATTCGGTACCGTGGTTATGATTATTTATTTGCATAATCTCAGTTTTGCTACTTAAATGATTATTTGTTCAGACTAAGTTATCTTAAATATTTTAGTTACATAACTATCAATGGTTATTTTGTATCCCTTATACTCTTGGTATAATATTTCTCACTCTGCCACGTGCTTATAGCTTTTTACCAATTTTCAAGAAATAAGCAATTCAGAAATAGCTTTTGGGAAGTCTTAGATGTGGGGTTGCGGAATAGACACACACACAACACTTTTATGATATCTTTATATATAAATATCGGCCTTTTGGTCAATAAATTTTGTAATAAAAATAGGAGCTCTGATGATTATTTTGGTACCCTCAATTCAATATTTCTTCCGCTGGCGTTTATTAATTTGTTCGAGAATTGGCCTGAGCTAACTTCAGTTACTAGTTATCACGATACTTAACCCTTGGGTGTGGGGAGCGGGTCGTGACAGTATGTCCATAAGAATCCATCTCGTAATGTGTTCCATGATGTAATCTATTTCATTATTATATTTTTAGTTCTGTATTTCATTCTTTAATAATGAAAAAATTATTTTGTTATTTCTATTTAATTTTATTTTTATGGTATTTTTTGATAAATCCTCTTTCAATGTGTTTTATTTCATCTAATCCATATTCTTTTAAGTATTCCATTAAATCCAGTTTAATGTAATATGATCAAACCATCCTCTGTAATTTTTTGCACATATTTATATTTTGAAACTAATAGTACATTACAATAGTCCCTCATTTGATGGAGAAAATATCTTCCTCATTTTAAAGAGAAAATATTTCCAATATTTCTCTCATTCCATCAAGAAAATTTCTCTTTTATTCTAAGGAGAAAATCTTTCCCGTATACCAGGAAGAAAATCTCAAATTATGAACTTTGAACCTTTTTATAATTTGAAAAATTTTAGAATAATGAAACAAAAAATCTAAAGGAAAATCAAAATACAATGTGAATGTTCACAGTAAACAACAAATATACAACTAACTTTTGAAAAAACAAAATACATACTAAAGTACAATGTGAATGTTCACAATAAACAACAAATATATACAGCTAACCTTCGAAAAATAAAATTCATACTAAAATATAATGTGTATGTTCACAATTTATAATTAACATACACCTAGCCTTAAAAAAAAGAAAAAATAAATAAATAAAAATAAATAAATAAATCATACCAATGTAAACATTTACACTGCAATATAAAAACATAAAACAAAATTGAAAAAAGTGAAAATTGACTAATTCAATTGTTTAATGGTAATAAAAATGATTCACTACTACAAAATCATAAATAGATCGTACTTTTTTTGTGTGATGTATGTCTGGACCAATTTTCTCTGGACTAATTTTCTTTGGACCAATTTTCTCTGGATCAACTTGAGGGACCTTAGACATTATGAAAATATTTGATGTCCTTTATGTTCACAATAAACAACAAATATATACAGCTAACCTTCGAAAAATAAAATTCATACTAAAATATAATGTGTATGTTCACAATTTATAATTAACATACACCTAGCCTTAAAAAAAATAAAAAATAAATAAATAAAAATAAATAAATAAATCATACCAATGTAAACATTTACACTGCAATATAAAAACATAAAACAAAATTGAAAAAAGTGAAAATTGACTAATTCAATTGTTTAATGGTAATAAAAATGATTCACTACTACAAAATCATAAATAGATCGTACTTTTTTTGTGTGATGTATGTTATTTAATTACACATTTTAAGTTTTGTCAAAGTGTGATATTTGGAAATGTGATTAAAAAATGGTCATTTTTAATCACATTCCTAGAGTGCCATTAAAAAATAATTCAATCACACTTTTCGCGTGTAATAATAAATATTTAGATCACATCTTTTAAATGTGATTACTAATATTTAAATCACATCTTTTAAGTGTAATTAATAATTAATAAAACCTGTGATAATAAACACTTAGATCATATCTTTTAAGTGTAACTAATAACTAATAAAACCCGTGATAAAAAAAGGGATTCAACATATTTGAAAAATAATCAATATTATGTTTGTACACATATTTGAAAAATGCAATACACACTATATACTACACTTTGAATCACAACCACATATTGAATGGAATAACGTTATATATTTCATAAATGAAAATTAAATGTTCAAAAGTATATACAAATAAATTAAATAAAAAATTTTAATTGTGCTTACATATATTAAAAAATGAAAAAACTTAAAAAAAACTAAATTCTTGAATTCTTTGACCATATTTTGCATTTTGCATCTCTCCAAGAAATTTCTTACCTAAAAAATGAAAACACAAATTAATTCAGAAACAACTAGAAGCGTATGAATAAACTAACTATTTGTAGAGGCTGTTCTAGTCTTACAAAAGATACAGTCGAACCTTTTCTCATCATACTGACTCTTTATCTCCTGCATCAATAGAAAAAGAATAACCACTTTGATTGTTACTAGTATAAATGTTTGAATTACCATATAGATATGACCTATACATAGAATCAATAAATCCAAAATGAAAATCTTAAATGCATGGCCAAAACTTAAAGGAAAATAACCTCTCAACCAACAACTAAACAAGACGGTTACAAGAATACTATACCTAAACTAAATCACAAATCACATAATGCAGCACTTTAACATAAATCCAATGCTAATTAATAAACCTCAAAAGTCTCCAAAGAAACTCTCACCCAACTTCTTAAAGATCTGAGCCACAGTACTTCCGCCCAAAGACTCCTCAACGTATTTGTCACTACAACAAATAAAGATATTGGATATAATTGTTAATGAACATATTCAACAGAAATTGTTCAGTTACAAATGGTGCTTTTGAGGACCATCAGGATTTTGCCTTCCTCAAGAATTTTACTAGAAAAAAGATTGATAATCAAACAAGTGAAATAAAATAAAACTAACCATAAATATAGAGAAACTTGTTTACAAGGCAAGACAAATACAGAGAGAACAACTTAATCGTAACTAAATTAGAAGCACGTCCCCACTCATTCTACATTGGAACAAACTGAGCTCAAGTTTAAGCTTCAAGCTCAATTTCTTAATCATCATTAACTAACAGCTAGATGATTTCCATTAAATTTTGCTATTGTAAATAGCTGATCTAGTTTTACCTTTTCCAGACACAGTCCAAATTAATCCAAAACCATAAAATTTGCCAACAAGTTGAGGGCAAAGGTTTCAGCCACTGAAGAATAAGAAGTGGGAGATGAAAAAAGTACATAAAATGGATCTTGGCATGCCTACTTTTCAATAATATTCACAACTAGTGCAGGGGGGGTATAGTAAAGACATGTTTATGTCTTACCAGACTCGATCATAGGTAGGACAAATTTGTAACAATTAAATTTGAGTGTCATCTAGGACTAATTACTCATTTTTGGGGACTAGTATCTTTGAGTTGAGTTTAATAAAATGTATAGCTATTGAAGTTCAACCAAATCCACAACACATCCAAATATATCCTCCTACCCTGACCCCCCGCCCCAAAACAAAATTTAATAAAAAATAATAAAATAAAAGGTAGAAAATTTCAAGAAATTGGGCATTTAAACAATGAGTGCATCTGCATACCATACAGAAACACCATCTTTCTTCAACCAAAAATGATTTTGGACATAACTTATCAGTTTCTTATAGTTTAAATTGTTTAGTAAGATCTCTTCAGTACATATTTGAACACTAATTCTAGGATCTATAATTTTGAGCATGATTATGAGGGAACTAAGAGGTAGATGACAATTAGGCCAAAGATGATAGCCAACTACATAAAGAACTCAAAACACTTAACTTACTTTCGTGAAAGTTCCACTAATGTAATCAGCTGCTTCCCTCCCCAAGTTCATAGCTTCTTCAAAAGTAGAAACACCAAATTGAACCATTACAGAATCTGTATCTCCATATATAACCTAAAATTGTTAAATAATCAATTCTCATGGAAAAAATAGATCAAATATCAGTGTCTTAAGATAGTTGAGTATGAACTATGACTACAGGGTAATAATGCACTCAAGTCATATATCAAGAAAATAATCAATTTGCATGCTTAAATATGATTCAGTAATACATCTACATAAGAAGACTAACGAACTTAGCAGAGAAAACAAATGTGGGTTTGGTAAGAGCAAAGTCCAGAACCATATACTCATTGACAAAATATAAAGCCCATCATACTTTCATATTTTAGGTTCTATTCCAAAAAACTCAGACAAAAATTTATTCGTGAACAATACCATATTGATCCAAATAACTCAAAATGCCAGCAAAAATAATTATATTAATCAAAACCATTAAAGGTTTTGGCAGACTATAAACTTTAGTAAATATAAAAGCAATTATCAACATAACAATTTTGATAGGTTAATGTAACTTGAAAGGATTTTGATCAACTAAGTTTTATTAGATCATCAAATCTTTGAAATTGTAAATTTAGAAACTAAATATAGGGAGAACATTGTACTGAAGCACCACTTGAAACAATGCAAGATCAGTATTGTTAGTAGCACCACCAGAAAGATCTTTAGCATAGAAAGGGATGCAGATATATGGGAAGAATTTAACATTATGATTGCTTGGTTGAAGTGATTATTTACCTTTAAAAAAAATCTATTGCATGGAAGTTTATAGTCTATTGGGCTTATCAAAGGGAGGGAAAATAACCAAAAATATAACAGCACGAAATTAGAATAATGAATAAAAAAACAGATAAAAAGACAAAAACCCATCAATATGTATTTCATTGTAAGTAGGGAAAATCATTATAGGTTTGGAAATATAATAGTGAGCATTTGTGGCTAATGAAAGAGTCTTTGACGGTGGGCACAAATTAAATAATGAAAATGTTTAATTTATTATGAAAGCACTGGAAATGTCCTCAATCTGTTATAATCTCTATGAAGCTTATTTCCAGCAAGAAAGAGTTGCTACAAATTTGCCAAAGAGCTTATTTCCAATAAGAAAATCTGTCACTGCAGTGAACAAATACAGGAACAAATTCAGCATCCTGCATCTTGGGACAACATCTTGGGACAAATACATCTATACCATAACCAAACAAGGGACTTACTAGCATATTAACAAAGTAGCTTGATAAATAAATAAATAAAAACACCAAAAAATATAATTTTGAATTTTCAAAAATTATTTCCACCCCCCAAGAATACGGGAGCTGAAATTAGTTATAAAATGAATTCTTCTATTTTCTTTGACAACACAGTGGAGATGCACAAACTATATTTTGAGGTCCTAAATCAAGTGATTGGATTTGGAACAAATTATGCTTATTACTAACATGAATCCAACATTAGTAGTTCAAACACAAGCAATGCATATCCAGATACAAGGCCTCCGATACTTTATATGCTATAAGTAGCAACAACAAGAGTAACAATGGAAGAAACTAAAATTCAATTAAAAGAAGTTTACTTTAAACAGCTTCTAGATGGAAAGGGCTGACCAAAAATTAAAAAGCATGTGATTTAGGAAGAGATCCAACAAATTCTAAGCCAGGATAGAGGTGGTAAAATATAATGATAGACCACTTATTTGCAATAATTGATGTCCATGCAGAATGAGAGTATTACTTCCATAGAAATACTTAAAGGCAAATGGGCACATCAAGATAAAATCCAATTCTAGGACAGTGAAAAATCATACCCCCATAACGTAGAGGATGCAATAGATTTCTAAGCTACATAGGGGAAGTATGACATGAACTCTAAAACAATTCCTTTGGTCAATCACAATAGCCCAGTCTAAAAAAATTTGTAGCCAGGCACAAAGTGCAACAAGGCATTCTAAAAACATAGTGCAGACTAAGAAAACTAAAAATCCCACAACACCATGTGTCACCATAACTGAGATGCTTAAGTTTGCCATAATATGGTATTCTCCAATGTTAGCATTTCCAGTATAAAAGTATAGCATAACAGCAATTAGAAGATCTGTGTTACCATATGCCTCCATAAACTTGGGATCACCGGATGATTTTGGATCTGCAACACAATAGAAAAAATAATGACAATTTAAAGTGTGTAAACTATATTTAAAAAATAAATGAATAAAAAATGAAATAACAGTACATCTTAGACAAATAGATGGTCTTACTAAGCTTTATAAGGAAGGACAACATACAGGCTGACAAATTGTTTTACAGAAGCAAAATTTACTCTTCTATAACATGTTAAAAACAGCTGCAAATAAAGGCTACAATTGTTATAGTCAAATTGGGAAAGATAAAGCTTGTAGTTTAACAGACAAATAAAACAGATTTTGCATACTTTTTCTAAGATGGCAGGGTCAACAAGGCAATAGCTAATGAACCTAGGCAATGGAAAAAAATAGGCAAAAAATTCCTTTTATGATCATTTATATTTTTATTTCTTACCAATTAGATGAACAGGAATAGGAAATCTATCCAATGGGCGCAATCATTGTATCCAAAAAAGGCTAGGAGCATGACAATGGAACATACCTAAGATGAATTGTCGAGCCAAATTTGGACATCGGCGTTGAGCAAATGCAAGCACAATAGCATCCTCGACCTTAAAGGAGCAGTAATAATATACCATTAAGGATGTAAAAAGCAGCAAGATAATGAAAAATGAAAGAAGAAAAAATGGGATATAAAGTAAAAATGATTTTTTTTATTTTTATTTTACTATATTAATAAAAGAAAGGGAAAATAATCAATAAGTCTTATTTTGCTCTTAAGATTACTGTGAAGTCCTATCAAGTTTCAATATAGACAACTAAGTCCTATTTTTCGTAACATATTTTCAAAATGTTTATTTCTCCATAATGGTGGACGTTATTTCAAAAGTTTATTATTCCATAATGGGATAAGACACACCATTATGGAGCAATGAATGTTTTGGGAACTTTTATCACAAATAGGACTTTGTCCATATTAAAACTAGATAGTAATCTTAAAAACAAAATAGGACTTATTAGTTATTTTCCCTAAAAGAAATTCCAAACAATGAAGACCATACTTCCATTAGTTTATGCCTAATGTTGGTTTTTTACTCTAAAATCTAGAAGGTGAATCAAAATCAGAAACATATGTATTTAAACAAGGAACAATAAAAGTATGTACTGGAGAAAACCCTCAAGGAAGCTAGTTCCCTTAAGCCCATTTCAACTGAAAGCATACTTTCAATATTTCCCTCTCCACTTAGGTCATTCAGATCACGAACAAGTTTGCTACTCCTATCTGAATCATCATTACTCACTCATTTTATAAAGAATGAAAGCCTAGATAAGTCAAAAGTGTTATGTTCTGGATAAGCTTGCCGCTCACTGAGACTCTTGATGAAAAGATTGGAGATGGTTGTTATATCCAAAATAGGTTAAGGATTGGAGTTGCTTTTAGTAGCAAATAATAAATAACAGAACCTAATCAACCTTAATCCAAAAAATTAAACTAAGAGTACACACAATGCTTTCAATTTGAACAACATTTCTACAATTATTTCAGGAAAGCAAAATTGAAGCCACTCACAAAAAAGCGAGTGTGTATATGTTTATATATATATATATATATATATTCAGAGAGAGTTTACCAGAGACGAATAGAGAGACGAAGAAAGCGCAACGCTATCCTAGCTGATATTCAAACCCTTACCAGAGATCGAAACTTACACCAAGTGCATCGAATCAAAGACTCGCACGAAGAAACCCTTCCGTCCCTTCTTTCAAGAAAATCATATGTGAATCTGAGATAGAAAGGCCATAGCTTGAAAAGCGAACAACAGAGAGAGAGCAGAGGGCATTGATCGGAGAGAGGGTCACGATCGGCGCTGCTCACGATTGGCTGTGCGAGAGGGGCACGAAGGGCCAGCGCCGTTCAAGGGAGTGTAGTCAGTGACGCTCTCTCTATAGTCAGCGGCGCAAGAGAGGGAGAGGGGGAGGGAGAGGGAGAAAAGACATACCTTTACCATGAGAATGAGAGTGAAGAGTGAGAGTGAAATGCAACTTCAAGGGTCAATTTTCTATTTATAAAAATAAAATTAAAAAAAAATATTCATATGTATAATCACACGTTATTTAGGCCAAGTTTGGCTACAAAGAAAAAAGTGCATTTATTTCATCTTTTTATCTTTTTTGAGTCACATCAATCAACATCTCCGCTCTATTTTTTCTACACATAATACAAAAAAAAGTCAAAAAGTGCACTTATTTAGTCTTTCCAAACTAGGCCTTAGAAAGTGTGATAAAAAAAAAAAGAGAATATAATTATATTTAATTAAAAAGTGACATAAAAAATAAATATTATTACACTTAATTAAATTAAATGTGATTAAAATACTAATTTGATTTTTTTGAATCACACTTCAATTAAAAGTGTCTTGTTTTAATTTCCTTAAGTGTGATCTTTAGCATTTTTGTAGGAGTGATTGTTCAACTAACAAGTAAAGTAACAAAAATAACAAACATATAATTAACTTTCGAAACAATAAAACTTATACTAAAATACAATGTGAATCTTCATAATTGACAATTAATGTACAATTAGTTTTAAAAAAATAAAAAAGAAACCCATACTAATGTGAGCATTGACACTGCAATGTGAAAATAATAAAATTAAAATAAAAAATAAAAATAGTGAAAATCGATTATTTCAATTATTTATGGTAATAAAAATGATTGTTTAACCAACAAATATAGTAAAAAAATAACAAAATACAACTAACTTATGAAAAACTTCAACCAAAAAAAAAAGATCATACAAAAATACAATGTAAATTATCACAATTTATAATTAACATACAACTAACCTTAGAAAAACTAAATTCATACCAATGTGAACATTCACATTGCAACATAAAATAAGATTGAAAGAAAAAAAAAATGACTATTGCAATTATTTAATAATAACAAAAAATTATTGTTCAAACGATAAGTATAATAACAAATAACCAATAATATGTGAACATTCACATCTTGCAAAATATATAATTATGTCCATATTTATATTCCAACACTTTTTTCTCAAACTTTCAAACAATGTGAAATGTGAACATTCATACTAATTGACAAAAAAAATAGAAACAACAGTAGTAATAGAATTAGAAATCCAAAAAAAAAAAAATTCAATCACTCTAAAAACAAAAAAAATATCACCCGCATCCTCATCTTCATTATCATCTTTATCATTATCACTATCATATGTTTGTAACAAAGTTGAGTAGACATAAATAGAGTTTCAACTCACAACAATGGAGAAACATAGAGTTTCGAACACAGAGCAACAATGGACGAACACAAAACTTTGAACACAAAAGACTTAGTCCTATAAATACATAGAACTAATTAGGTTATAATTTTTTTTTGTAGACTTATTAAGTTAGAACACCTCTAAATGAAATTTATCAATAAAAAACTCTTAATTGTATATATTTTTCTAGTATTATTATGAAAAAAATACTAACAATCTGCATTGATAAAGCAATTACCGTCAAAAGTTAGAATATTCGTATACGAATGGTCATGGGATTGTATGCCTACAAAAGCCTCTGCTAATTTTCATTATAACTACATGTTTTTTGTAGAACACAATGGCACCAACGTATAAGGATAAATAATCTGATCAAATTCGATATCTTGAACATAAACATCCAAGAACTTTCCATACCATATTCCTTCATTGCCAATACCTCAAAATTGGCTTCGTCGCCATAGTTTGGACGGTCAGAGCGAACCATACAAAGACATCCATTCAGAGTTCCCAAACTAGCTATAATATCTCCATCTCCATGTTTAGGCTGTGGCAACGAAATGATTTGGTGACCCGAGCTTTTCTTAGAAGCAAACCAGTGTAGATGTTCATTCACTACAGGCCCTCAATGGTGAATCAACTCTTTCAAAATAGCCTTCTTGATCGATGGATTCAAAAGAAACGGACCTTCTAGGACTTGGACGAAATTTAACGAGAACAACTTTCTGGGATCGAATGGTTTTTGCATAATCTTCGATCAAAGAACGCCAGTGCTTGGAAACGCAGATGGATTGGACGAGAGATTCTATGGGTAATCTTTATAGTATGTCGAGAATGATATCTTCGGGTAAATCGTCTTCTTCTTCTTCTTCTTCTTCTTCTTCTTCTTCTTCTTCTTCTTCTTCTTCTTCTTCTTCTTCTTCTTCTTCTTCTTCTTCTTCTAAGTCAGTTGTGTACATATATAGGATTCAAAAATGCTAGATAAATCTAGAAATTAATTTCAATATAAATGATCCACATCACTAAACTGTTCACTATTTCTTGCAAAAAACTAAAGAAACAATTATAATTCAGTACATTTTAAAAAAATAATTACATATGCATTGAAAATCTTGTGATTTTAATTATTAATATTCATAAAATTTACAACTAATTTGTAATTATTTTTTTAAAGATTAATGCTAGATCCTATCTAAAAAAAATTTAAAAATTAAAAAAAAAAAAAAAAAGAAAGAAAGATAAATGGTAGAGACCCACATTTGAAGCCTTCAAATACACTTCTAATAATGTGACATGAAAGTAAAACCTCAAATAATTGAATATGTGACAAATCAAAAGCTGACAACTATCACTCCATATAATTGTGGATGAAATTGTAAAGATTTTAATAGGAGTCTCAAATATTTTCTTTTTTTAAAATTACACTAATATATAATTTTATCATAATTAGAGGGAGGAATTTGTCATTTTTGAATTTTGAATTTTCAGATAAATGGACAGAAGTCTTGTTTTAATTTTTCATTTTTCTTGAAAATGAAATTTTAAAATCAAAGTAAAAATGCTTGGTAAAAAAATGGAGGAAAAAAAAAAGTTACTATTTTTGTGTAGATTTTTTTTCCAGAGATAATGCTGTGTATGAAGGTGGTACAAGGTTACTTATGGAATTACTTATGATTGTTTACAATTCAATCCTGTGGAAAAAGATTGAGATAATGCTCTGTATGAAGGTGGTACAAGGTTAAAGCCTGTTAGTATATACTTGTTAATTAGAATAGCTTTAGCTTTATAATTATTAATTGTATAGCTTTACTTTATGCTTTCGGTGTAATTGTTAATTGTATAGCTTCACTTTATGCTTTCGGTGGTAGTGGGTTTTTTGGTATCCAATGCCCATATTTCTCTCTATAAAGAGAGACTTCATTCTCTTTGTAAATGATAACGAATATACAAACATTTCAGAGTCTCTCTCTCGCTCTCTAGCTTCTCTCGCTCTCTCAAACTAATCTTTCATGGTATCAGAGCCCAGTGTTACATTTCTGGCAATTTTTTAGTCCCGTATACAGTGGCACACTACATCAAACTGTTCGAAATTTTCTCCTGATTCCAACGGCACCAAGCCCGTTCTCAGAAAACCTAACACGCGCCCCCACGCGCCGCTCTTATCCTCTGCGCGTCAACACTTCCGCCACCACTCTCACACGCGCCCACACGCGCCATCTGCTGTCGCTCACTTCCGCCACGCGCCCACACGTCCGCGGCTCCCATACGCCGCGCCTGCTACCATACGCGTCTCGTGCCCCACTTCGCTAGTGTGCACCCGCGTGCGCCAAACCAGCTAACGTGCGCCGCGCCTGCGCCTGTCTGCTACCGTGCGCCGTCGCCTACCTGCTAACGTGCTCCTCCCTGCACTCTGCTAACGTGCGCCGCTGACATCACTGCTGACATCATCTCTGTCCAGCATACCTTTCCTTGCTATTTTCGACCTTCCGGACTCACTGGTACACTCTGTTTTACCTAATTTTGCTCCTACGGGTCTATTCCTATTACTTTAACCCTACTCAACTAGTATTATGGATCGTCATGATGCCTCCCATCCCATTTCCCTCATTTTAAATGGTTCAAACTATGTTCTGTGGGCCCAAGCCATGTCCTCTTTCCTCAAAGGCAAGAAGCTCTGGCGAATTGTCACCGGGGATGTGACTAAACCGGTGAAAGACAGTGACACTAATGAAACCACTGTTCCTACTGCTACATTTGAAGACCGACTTGAGGAATGGGACAGTAAGAATTACCAAATCATTACCTGGTTTCGTAATACCTCTGTTACATCTATCAGTCTTCAGTTTGGTCGCTTTCAGCTTGACTCTGTAACTACTCCTGCAAAAGACATCTGGGATTTCTTGAAAGAACGATACCAGACTACTGGTCTTGCCCACCAATATCAACTTCAGAACCAACTTCATCGCATGCGCCAAGAATCCACTCAGTCCATTAATGACTTCCTTTCTCAAATATACTCTGTTTGGGATCAGCTTGCTCTTTCAGAACCAACCTGGCATGACCCCGAAGATGCAGTTTTATTTACTAACCATCGCAACCAGCAAAGGTTGGTGCAATTTCTCATGGCTCTTACCCCCTCGTTTGAGCCCGTACGTGCCTCTCTGCTTCATCGCCATCCATTGCCCACTCTTGAACAAGCAATTCTTACCCCTCTTGATGGCACTCTTCTCTCTGATGCTACTCTATATCGTCAGCTGGTTGGCAGTCTTGTCTATCTCTTCTCTCAAATCACTGCTCCTACCACTGCTACCACTGCTCCTCCTTTATCTCATTTTCAGCTTTGGCACTATCGTTTGGGCCATCTTTCTGTTGGTCGTTTGAAGTCTTTAATTTCTAGTGGTCATTTGGGTACTGTAAGTTCTGATGCTTTCAATTGTGTGTCCTGTCAACTTGCAAAACAACCTGCTTTGTCGTTTAATAAAAGTGATTCTGTTTCTCTTGCGCCCTTTGATCTCATTCATTCTGATATTTGGGGACCCTCTCCTACTCCTACTATGGGAGGCGCACGTTATTTTTTTGTTTTTATAGATGATTTTTCTCGTTTTACATGGTTGTTTCTTATGAAAAATCGCTCTGAACTCAAACAACTTTATTACAATTTTGCTGCAATGGTTAAAACCCAATTTTCTAAAACTATCAAGATTTTTCGCTCCGACAATGCCATGGAATATAAAGATTTTGA